TTTTTCGTAATTCACTTCATCACCTTGAAGGTGTGTGGGATCCCTAGGTTTTGGGAAACCTTGAGAGGCGGCTCTAAGAATTCCAACATCTAGAGCTTCTAAATACGCATCCATGCAGATTTTCCAATAAGGAAAATCATATCCCTCAAAGATAGGAGAAGGTCCATCCCCGTGAGACATCTTTCTCTATGCGGTTAAGCCTAAATACGTGAGCACGAGGCTCCGATATCAATTGAAAGGATCAAGATGCCCAAGAGGGGGGTGAATTGGGCTAATTCTAAAATTCTTTGCAATAATTAAACCCTACACTTAGACCACTTCACCCCTTGTGCCTAGAATGTGATTCTATTTATCTACCGCACAAAAGTTTAGCACCTTAAGTTCTAATCCTACTCTAGCATGGCAGTTCTAAGAATGTAAAGATAAGAATTGAATTGCTCAAATATAAATGTTTAAAGTAAAGAGAGGAGAAGGAACGCGGCGATGTTTTGCCGAGGTATCAGAGAGTCGCCACTCCCCACTAGTCCTCGTTGGAGCACCCGCGCAAGGGTGTAGCTCCCTTGATCCGCGCAAGGATCAAATGCTCTCTACGTGTTGATTCTTTGACACTCCGTTGCGGTAAATCATCCACAACCGCTCACAACTTGAGTTGGGTCATCCACAAGCTCCGCCGGATGATCACCAAACTCCCAATCACCACCAAGCTGTCTAGATGATGGCGATCACCAAGAGTAATAAGCAAGAACTCTTACTTGACCACAACAAGCCTAATGAGAAGGGTGGATGCACACTTGCTACTCTCTTTTTACTAATGAGGCCTTAATCTTGGATTCTCAAATCTCAATCACCTCACTATGCTCTTGCTCTCCTAAGCACTCTCAAGGGTGTTTCTCAGCTGTTGAAATGGGTAAGAGTACTCCCTTGGATGAATAGAGGAAGTATTTATACCCCCTCATTCAAAACGAACCGTTATGTGCTTGAGTCAGCACCTTGTGGGGTGACCGGACGCTCCGGTCAAGGTGACCGAACGCTCCGGTCAGTTCTCCCCGTCACAGAGCCGTTAAGTTGTGACCGGACTCTGACCTGCATTCGGTCAGCACTGACCGGACGTGTCTGGTCACGAAAACTGCTCTTTGGACCCTTATTGATGTTGGCAGGACTCTGACACCCAGCGTCCAGTCACATTGCTGTTCAGCGTCCGGTCAGTAACCAGAACCTGACTAGCTTCCGGTCAGCACTGACAGGACGCGTCCGATCAGGATTCTCCCTCTCTAGAACCTTACTGGAGTTGATCGGACTGTGCCACCCAGCGTCCAGTCACTTTTCACTCAGCGTCCGGTCGCAACCAGACGACTTCACCTTGATCAAATGAACTGACCAAACTCTACTGCCAGCGTCCGGTCAGCATTTGACCCTCCATTCACTTCCAACTCGAAATCATATATGAATGAAGTTTGCTCCAATTGATCTTAGGCCTACTTAGGAGCTACTTAGTGCTAGATTTGATAAGTGTGCATCACACCTAACCTACTAGACTCACCAAGGTCAAGCTACTAGTTCAAACCCCCCTTAATAGTACGGCCAAAGGAAAAACAAAGTCCTAAACTACTCTAAGTGTCTCTTCAACACCAAACGACACTTAGAACAAGTTCATCCTTAACCTTGTCGTCCATCCTTTGAAAACCGAAATGATTTCCATCGTAGGGGCATGACAACAATGATTGCCCAATCAATTGCCATTACCATGACCTAACTTAATTGCCTCTGTAAAACACACGTTAGTCATAGTAATCTCGTATTGTTATTAATCACCAAAACCCAACCAAGGGCCTAGATGCTTTCATGATCCATCAAAGTATGGTGGCTTCCCCACATGTTGAAATGAGTCATTTTGACACCGTAGGTTGTTAAGCCTCAATTCAACGGTGACCACGGCTTCGATACCACTTGAAAGGTCCTAAATGGCTAGATGGAGGTGAATATCCTAATAAAAAATACTACAAGACACTAGAGCAACTAGTTAGAAGGATAAAAGGTGAAGCTTTTTGCTCTAGCTCTGCATAAGGGTTGTAAGCCACCTATTCAATCAAATCTAGTTGATTATAATATCTAGGCACACAAAGGCTAAGCTTCTACTCCACTAAACTAGTGTGCAAGCTAGAAACTAAGAACAACTAAGCAAACTAACAACTAACTAAACAAGAGAGCTACACTACACAAGTATGACAAGTAATGTAAATACAAGTAGCGTAGAGAGATTATACCGCACGTGGTAAGAGATGGTCAATCAAGAATACCAATGAATACCAAGTGATCAAGGGACAATTTGACACACAATTTTTGTCCCAAGGTTCACGTGCTTGCCGGCACGCTAGTCCCTGTTGTAAAGGTCGATTCACTTGGTGGTTTGCAAGCTAATTGGCACCACGCCAAGCCCTACACTAGGGCACCGCAAGAACCTACACAAGATGAGGGCACTCAACTTCACGAGCAATTTACTAGAGTGGCTTTTGGTGCTCCGCCAAGGAATAAGCCCAAGAATCCCTCACAAATCACTGGGAGACGGCCACGAACGATCACCAACACGTGTCAAGACTCCTCTGCTGCTCCAAGCCATCTAGGTGGCAGTAACCACCAAGAGTAATAAGAAATCCACAGCAAGAATGATCCCCAAGTGACACTAGATGCAATCACTCAAGCAAATGCACTTTGGATCACTCTCAATCTCACTACGATGGTGAATCAATAGAGGAGATGAGTGGGAGGTGTTTGCTTTAGCTCACAAGGATGTATCACTGATGAAAACATGCAAGCGAGTGAGCTAGAGCCGACCACAATCTATTTATAGACCTCCAAAGGGGTAACTAGCCGTTAGTCTCTACGGGCCGTCCGGACTATCTCACAGGGCGTTCGGACCATTAGCTCAGGGTTCGGACCCTCTCACCAGCCAACCATGTGCCGCCACGCATCCCGTTCAAACACAGTTAGCCGTTGCCACGCTTAGTGCCCTCTGGTCGTGCTCCAGACTCCTCGTCTAGACTCCAACAGTGCACCATCCGGACCAATCTCCACTGTGGTCCGGAGGAGACGATTTTCATGCAGAGAGCTCCCGAGAGGGCAAAATGCCTTCGGACTCGGTCCGGCCGCGTCGTTGGACCAATGAGCATGGTTCGGACCTCCCTCATCTCTTCTCCTCGCGCCACGTGGCCACAGCCCCTTGAACCGGACCGGCAGACATTGGTCCGGACCCCCTGATCCTCGAGGGTCCAGACCAACACCACAGGGTCTAGAGCTACAACGCCAGCTAGGGTTAGGGTCCGGACCCATCGCCGATGGTCTAGACCACCTAACCCCCTCAGTTCGGAGTACAATTTCAACTCATTTTCATCTCCAATCTTTTCATCCTTGTTCCCAAGTGCTAAACACATTGTTATCACCTTTGTGCACGTGTGTTAGCATAATTTCAAAATATTTTCAAGGGTTAATTGTTAGCACACTAGGTCCTAATGCAAATGCATGTATGACTTTAGCTAGTGGCACTTGATAACCACAATCACAAACGATTAATTTTTCCCTCTTAATAGTATGGCTATCTATCCTAAACCCACTCACACCCTCTATGGTGTATTGAGTGGCAAAACAAAAACCCTATTGATACCTTTGCCTTGATCATTATTGGTTTTTATTTTTCTCTTTCTTGTTTTCCAAATGTAGAGCACTTGATCCATCTTTTAGCCATCACCTTCACCATGACCATCAACTAGCTCCATCACTTGGTGTGTACTAACCTAGCTCATGTACATCACTAATGACAAAAGTTAGTACACTTATTAGGTTTCATTAATTATCCAAAATCAAACTAGGGCTTTCAGCTAGGCTGTTGAGGCCTAAGCAGGGAGAGGGGGGGAATGGTCGGGCTAGGCTAAAAGGGGAGGAGGCGGGTTGGCGGGGCTGGCGTGGGGGAAACGGGCCGACGGGTGGGGCTCGTGGCCCAGGCGCCAAGGGAAAGGGGGGCGCGGGAGCGGCCAAGGGAGGGGCAAACAGGCCGGGCTGGGCCCGCGGGGCAGGCCAGGGAGGGGGGCCTAAGGCCGTCTTGCTGAGGGAAGGAGAGGGTTGGGCCAAGAAAAGGAGAAAAGGAAGGGGAAAGGAGAAAAAAATAGGCCCAAACAAAGGATTTTTTCCAAACAATTTTCAAACGTTGTTCTAATGTTTTTTTTTCAAATTCAATTTTCAAACAATAAATCCTAATGCAAGCTACACATCATGAATGCATCAATCTATTACATAACCTATATTTACTTAATTTGTTTAGAAAATAATTTTGTTTTGAAAATCATAATTTAAAATGTGAAAATGAACTAGAAATTGGCCAAAATTTTAAAAATTGAGAAAATCATTAATTTATTTGTGTTAATTATTCACATCCCCAAAATAGAAATTTTGGGTGTGACAGAACTTCCCACCAATCATGATTTCAGAACTTATCAACATGATTTGCTTAAGCACCCGCTTATTACTACTAAACTACCATATATCAGCGTGTCATGTAACAATTTATCCCTTCGATTAATTGCCAATTCTTGAAATAGAAGAATCTCCCACCGACATAATACACTGACCTGATCCCCTCCTATGATGTAGACAATTGACTGTTCATCAATAATTGGCCCAGGTTGCATAGAACATTTTATCATGAACTGCAGCAATAGCTCACCATATATATAGACTGGAAAACTTTGCAATAACAACTCTACTATTTGAGCTATGTTCCCAAATCCCAACCAACTGGCCACTTGAGAATAAGCACTGTGCCATGAAGTTTCATCTGAATAAGCTCACATTTGACTTTAGTAACTTGTACTGCAACTAGAAGGAACTCAAGCCAATATACCGAACTCTTCAAACCGAACCTCTCATAACATAACTGAACAAATGGTTGCTGAATTGAAGATAAATTTATGTTGCAGTCCAAGATATCAATCATTTTATGTTTTAGCCTGTCAATCATTGGCAAAATGTTGTTGCTTCTGAACCAACAAAATGTTGATCGATAGTATACCTCCAGCTAACTCATCTTGAATGTTGAATTGTGAAAATTTGAGAACACAATCATCTTCGATGCCACAGTATAGGAGCAAGAATCGCTCACTGTCCACATGATCAGGAAATATGTGCAGCTCACTGTGATGCTCTAAACTGATTGAAAATAATGATTCTGTGGCTAGTAGGTTAGGCACCATGTAAAACTGAATCGTCGACATTGCTTTTAGACTAAGGCCACTATCGACAGCAATGCTTTGAGCACTAGTAGCACGTGGCCATTGCTTGAAATGATGAAACTTGTATGGAATCACTGCCAGTGGTTTCTTTGGTTTCACAACAGTAATCGCTGCCAGTGGTTTCTTTGGTTTCACAACAATTGCATAACAACTGGAAGATGTCCATGGTATTGATCGCAGTAGTTTGACTCCATCACCTTTCATCTCAAGGTGTATTGGCGGTGGCCATGGTTGCCTCAGGTGCACACCATATTGCATCTCACACTGCAGAGGTGGTGGCCATGGTGGTTCTTGTTTCACAATGACCCTTCCCAAACTGAATGCAGGCCATGAGGACAGCTCCGTGGTGTCAATGATCGAGGTGTGGTGATCTCTTATAGCAGGTGGCCATTGTCCCTTGTCAACCAAATTAGCATGCAGTGGCTCTAGCATGACTGCACTTTGAGTGGGCATTTCTCAAACACCTTATGGGCATCATGTGCATCGGTGGCAAAACACAGTAGAGCAACGCCACTTGAGAGAGCAGAGCAAATGTTGGTCGTGTACCTGCACTTGATGCTCAAGAGAGAGTGGTCCTCCTGGAATGAGAAATCTGTCGTGAATAGAACCGAGGTTGTTGACTTGTTGAGGTAGTCAGCACTGTGTCGCTGTTATGGACTTGCGTTGAGCACTACAGATCTGATAAGTGAGTAGTATACAGTTTAAGGGATCCTCCTAGAGCACAATTGGTTTTCACTGATCAGCCTGATGTGATCGTGTGGAGAACTGGAGATAGACCAAATGGGGCTTATACTTCCAAATCTGCTTATACAGTAGTATACTGGTGTACGACCAACGACCCAGACTTCCAGTCTTTAACGGCGGCGAGTGCAGAGGTGTGGGGCCTGCTGGCCGCAAGTCTCAGGCTGGTGTCGCCTGACGGCCTGAGCAGGGTTGATACAACGCGACGATCAATGGGTGTACAAAAATGTGTAGGCCTAGCCTGACTTTGTTCGTGTGCCTGCTTCAGCTGTTGTGGCTGGCTGGCCCTAGGTGTTGGCTACAGCAACTTATGAGGGAGAGCAGCCAGCCCCGCCGGCAGCAGCTGTCCAGCCGAACACCCATTCACTCTATCCCGATAAGACTTTCTCAAATCCAAAATAGGTCACCGACAGTACTGTATCAACCGCCTCCAACAGAGTACCTATACAGAGACTCATTCTCATTTTAGATGTCAGGAGAGGCATAACCAAAATCTAGGTGCCAAGAGAGGCACAACCTTTTTACCTGTAGCGCTAAGAATGGATCTCGTATTTTAGGTGTCATTGTTAAAGATGGTCTAACGGAATGACACGCCCCGCACAATGGCGTCACTCTAGCCCCTGCAATAATTAAAAAAAAAAAAAAGTTGACAAATCACCGGCAAGCGTAGCACAGTAGACATAAAAGTAAAGAGCCCAGCTTCACTGGGAACATGAATTCAAAGCCAAGCAGGTCAATATGATAGCTTGCAGCAGTAGCCAAAGTTAAGCAAGCCAGTTCCTACCAATCCCAAAGACAGCCGTGAACCGTCATCATGCAGACCAGAGGTCACACCCCATGCATTTATACCTACACTATACAAAAAAGATGCTCTTGCCATGCATCCAACAGTCGATGTTCCACACAAGCGTGCAGTCACTTGCACAGCTGAATGTGATCAGCACCTGCCCTTCAGTGGTGGTCTCATGGGCCCCAACGCATCCTGCACAGCCCCCTGAGATACAGGTCAAACTCTGTCCGGACAACACACGAAGGGTTGTTCGGAGAGTTCTTCACGGGATACAAGACAAGCCTTGTAATCCCAAAGGCTCCACCACACTTCCCAGTTTCACGTGCCACCATAATGTAGCCATCTTGACCAAACTCTAACCCATGTGAGTTTTTTATGAGCCAAAAAAGCTCACCCAGGTCTGTTTCCCCATAGACAACGACCACAACATAATGGCCAATGGTAAAGAGCTCTTTCCACGTGTAGTTCTCACCATCCAAAACTCCCTACAACATAATTACATAGTTGTCATTAGAAATTCAGTGTTTTTCCGTACAAAAAGAAATAAAATGTATGGCTTTGAAAACAATTTTGAAGTTCATTGAAAACTGCAGCAATACCCCAAACAGTTGAGTCAAGTTACATAGGAAACCAATATATGAAAGGTGCCAAGAGCCCCAAGACAAAGTACCAAGAGCAAACTTATCAAAAAAATAAAGAATTAAGTCCAACTTCCAACTCTTTCTGTGGTTTAATTGTTGTCCCTCATCTCTTATACCGGTTAATTTTAGTCCCTTGTCTTTAAATACCATTCATTTTCAGTCCATACACCCTCTCCATAGCGGTTTTGCACAGGTGGCTCAGCTGATAAGAATCCAACATGGGTGTCTTATTGCTGACTCATCTGATTAGTTCATTGAGGCTGCTCAGTGTTGCTGAAAGTTTGCATCAACTCTCATCTTGGTAAAGCGTATTCGAGAGGTCAGAGAGGCACTATGTCAAATGGTAGTTGATCCCAATTGGAGATTTCTAAAAGATGATGATGCAGAGAAGGCAAGGAAGATCAAGTTGATGCTTGTTGATGATCAGTGATGGGAAAGAATTGATTTCCTTATCAGTTTCACAAATCCAATTGTGAAATTGCTAAGAAAAACTGACACAGATACGCCAATGCTGCACTTGGTTTATGAAAAGTGGGACTGCATGATAGAACAAGTTTGTGAAATTGTTCACAAGAATGGAAACAGGAACCCTATTGATGATGCAAAGTTGGGATGTCATGTACTGAACTACTGATCTTTCTGGATGTCAACAAGTGTCATCAAAGACATGATCTAATCTCGTATATTCAGTGTTCACTGTGAGTATTTCAACATTTCACTACACTGATTACTTGCTGGTTTCATGCTTTTTGGATGTAAACTTGAATATTTGCCTTTTTATTTAAAAATTTTAAAAATAAATAAATATATTAGACGAATCCCCGAATCCTATTTTTTGAGATTAGCCGAATCAGACACCCGCACCCGAGTCGGACTCTGACACCCGCGCCCGTGTCCACGTAACACTGCTGATTACATGTTTCTCCTCTCTATTGAACACAAAATTCTCCATTTTGTGCTGCTCGCGCTGGCGCTGCTCTACAATCTCGCCGGCTGCACCTTAAATTCCCAACCACCCGCACCAAATCACTCTCCAGCACCAGCAATCATGCTGCACAGCCCCAAATCGCGTTATGGCCAGCTCGAGCTGTTCAGCTCACAGCAAGATGGCAAGCTCCAGCGCCAACTTAGACACTTAGTCTAGCTGCAGCATCATTTGTCATTGCCGTAAGAAAGCAACGTGGTGGATTTCTTGGATCAGTCAAGATCGAGTAAACTAAGTTTGATTCTAATAAGTAGATCATTTTTTAGTCTACAGAAGATTGATTAGAAGAACAAAAGCACAGCTCAAGAACAGAAATGATTGGGATTTGGTGGCTGGTGAGATCGCTGAGCAATGCCAGCGAGCAGCACAGAATGGGAAATTTTTGTTTCAACCAAGAGAGAGGGAGAGAATGATTTAATCAGCTGAGCCGATACATCCACGTTGGATCCACGTCAGTTGAGCTATGTGTGCAAAACCACTATGGAGATGGTGTATGGACTATAATTAAATGGTATCAGAAGAGCATTAAATGTTAAGCAACACATAATAGTAATAAAACACAATTTGCTAGCTTACCTCTGTGTAATCCATGAAAAATTCATCAGCACCAACAGCAACCACCGCTGGATGAGCAGCAACCACCATCTTTAGAACCCTCTCATCAACATTTCGAGCCCAGCAGAAGTTATCAATTGTGACTCGTCACAAAGCTGTAACACAAAAACAAGAACCGGTGATCATTAGTTAGTTAATGAGGAACTATGTTATCCAGAGAATAATGTGAGATCTTTGGGCATACCTTTGTAGGTCTGATGACTTGATTCTGACACCCCTGGTAAGGATAGCTCGCATACGGAACTTGTCCTCCATTAGCTATGATGTATTCGAAGGCTTTATATGGGGAACCACCATCACAGCCCTGGCAGGTCAGGTCACAACAATCGATCAACTGTTGTTCAGACAGTTTCACCAGTTGATTTGTGTGTATGAAGTTTATCCCTTCCACTGCTGCTGTAGTGGCAAAAGACCAGCAAGCACCAGTCACCCTGGTGGGATACTTCAGTTAAAGCACCCGCCTCTCTCCAGTCAACGGAGATAGGAAGTCCATCCGGCCTAATTGATCCAAAGCCAGAGGCAGTGCTATAACCTACCCTTCCTACACAGAAATAATTAAGGTTTGTTTCCTCAAATGAACAACAGCATAGAGAATGGTTTTTTAGAAAAAGAGAATAATATTACCAGGAACAAACTCACCTTGACCAGGTGAAAAATTCAGATCCACGGAGGATATTCGGACATTCGAGGTCCAAAAGAGGAATAGCCTGCTAAACGACATTTGCAATTATAAAAAAAAAAGGTAGCAAGATTTTATCTTTAAATTCTTCCCCACAGCTAAAATTTTCTCTTCCTCTCCTCCAACCAGCTCACAAACAACAAAAATAAAAAAACATAATCTTCTCAGGAGAAGAACCATAATGTGATAACCAAACTTACCTAAGAGCATGTTGGCTGCTGTGAACCTCTCTTAGTGCCGTAAAGGCTGGATGTCTTCAAGCGGGCGGGGAGGAAGTCAAGCGCAAGCTTGAAATTGACTCATCATCCACCTCTCATTCAAGCAGTAGATCTGCGCCATGAATTCAGATTGTCGGAGATTCAGTAAGGTGCGGGTTGAATGTCACTCCATCCCACCTCTCATTTGGCGGGTGGATCTGCTCGTCCTGTGAGATCCAGTGTCGGAGATCCCAGTGTAGGTGTATGGGATCTTTTTTTTAGATAATGGAAATAAGTTCCTGCCTCTACACCAGGTGTATGGTTTCTTGTGTAGTTTTAGGCCAATATTGTGGTATCAATGTTAATACCCACTCTATATATCAAAGCTTGGTTGCACCCTCGACTTATAATTGCACATGTTGTCTAAGGGCACAAACGAAATAGCCCCATCTAACCTCGGTTTGGTTGGTGTTTTCATTCGTTTGTTATTGAATTCTGAACTGTAGGCATGGCGTTTGGACTACGATGTGCTGCTATTGCGCGGCGAGCTTCCTCTCTGGCCTGCTTCGCACATCCAGGCCTTACGGCACCAAGGGAGGCTCGCTGTGCCAACATGCTCTTAGGTAAGTTTGGTTGTCACATTATGGTTCTTCTCAGAAGATTATGTTTTTTTTATTTTTGTTGTTTGTGAGCTGGTTGGAGAAGGAGAGGAAGAGAAAATTTTAGCCGTGAGAAAGAATTTAAAGATAAAATCTTGCTACCTTTTTTTTCAGCGAAAGCAGATACAAATCTTCTATTCCTGTCTTTGGACCTGCTTGTCTGGAATATCCTCTGGTGGATCTGAATTCTTCACCTGGTCAAGGTGAGTTTGCTCCTTGTAATATTATTCTCTTTTTTTTAAAAACCATGTTCTATGCTGTTGTTCATTTGAGGATTCAAACCTTAATTATTTCTGTGTAGGAAGGGTAGGTTATAGCACTGCCTCTGGCTTTGGACCAATTGGGCCGGATGGACTTCCTATCTCTATTGACTGGAGAGAGGCGAGTGCTGTAACTGAAGTATCCCACCAGGGTGACTGTGGTGCTTGCTAGTCTTTTGCCACTACAGCAGCAGTGGAAGGGATAAACTTCATACACACAAATCAACCGGTGAAACTGTCTGAACAACAGTTGATCGATTGTTGTGACCTGACCTGCCAGGGCTGTGATGGTGGTTCCCCATATAAAGCCTTCGAATACATCATAGCTAATGGAGGACAAGTTCCGTATGAGAGCTATCCTTACCAGGGGTGTCAGAATCAAGTCATCCGACCTACAAAGGTATGCCCAAAGATCTCACATTATTCTCTGGATACCGTAGTTCCTCATTAACTAACTAATGATCACCGGTTCTTGTTTTTGTGTTACAGCTTTGTGACGAGTCACAATTGATAACTTCTGCTGGGCTCGAAATGTTGATGAGAGGGTTCTAAAGATGGTGGTTGCTGCTCAGCCAGTGGTGGTTGCTGTTGGTGCTGATGAATTTTTCATGGATTACACAGAGGTAAGTTAGCAAATTGTGTTTTATTACTATTATGTGTTGCTTAACATTTAATGCTCTTCTGATACCATTTAATTATAGTCCATACACCATCTCCATGGCGGTTTTGCACACATAGCTCAACTGACGTGGATATATATATATATATATAAATTTCCATATTTGCGTTCCAACGTTAAGGCCTTATTTAAATCCAGGCTGTAAAGTTTGGGGATGTCACATCGGGTGTCATATGGGGCGTCGCATGAGGTTTTCGGATAGTAATAAAAAAACAAATTACAGAATCCGTCAATAAACCGCGAGACGAATTTATGAAGCCTAATTAATCCGTCATTAACACGTGTTATTGTAGCACCACATTGTCAAATCATGGACTAATTAGGCTTAAAAGATTCGTCTCGCAAATTAGTCACAAACTATGCAATTAGTTGTTTTTTTAGTCTATATTTAATACTTCATGCATGTGTCCAAACATTCGATGGGATAGGGTGTAAACTTTTGGGGAGGAACTAAACAAGGGATAAAATGAAGCAGTTTAATGAGTCGAGTTAAAATATTGCAAACTCGAATCAATTGCCTGTGCAAAACTAAAAACTTATACTACCTTCCTTATATTGTCAAACCTCTACTGGTTCTTCAAGTGTGTTTATCCTCTCGAAAACTAACTATAACCCTACGCTATTATATTATAATGTTAGGGATTTTCAGAACCGGAGGGCTTGTTTGGATGCATCAAAATCTACATCAATCCATGTGTATTGGAGTGGATTGATTTGAAAATTAGTCCATTGTTGCCCCAATTCATATGTATTGGAGTGGATTTGTGGTACCCAAACAATCCCTGATGGGTCAGTATTGATAAGAGCATCTCCAGCAGTCCCCCAATTCCCATCCCCAATGAGAAAAAACTGTATTTTGAGGGATTTGAGAGCTCCGGCAGATCCCCATTCTAACCTCAATGAGAGAAAAAAAATTCTCAGTCCCTCAAAATCCATCCTCCAACCCCTCAAAGATGAGGGAAACCTCCCTCCCCCAATACCTAAGACTTTTGGTGCGAGCTCCAACTGCTGGCGCAGGAAAGGGACGACGATGACAAGATGGTGGCCACGGGCGCCATCGCCGGGAGCAGGGAAGAAGCCTGAACGCAGGCCGCCACGACCGCGTCTGTGCCTGCTCGAGGACACCCGCCTGCTCCAGCTCGAGGATGAATCTTGGTGCCGATCTGCGCGGGCGGCGCTCCAACTCGGAGCTAGCGCACGGCGGGGCCGGCATCAGGGCGGAGCATCGCGCTCGATCCTGGGGCGGAGGACGACGCCGATTGTTGTGCTCGCAAAGCTCGTTCACGGCCGGGAAGGAGCACCATGGCCGAGGAGCCGAGGACGGAGGGGGTGGAGGAGAGGCATGGCTAGGTCCTAGGGGCGGAGGGGGCCGAGGAGCTCCATGGATGCAGGCGGAAGGGATCCGAAGAGCGCCATGCCTCGCAAGATACGAGATCGACGGGACAGGGAAGAAACACCCTGCGGGAGAGAAGGAAAGATAAAAGAAAATAAAAAATTATAATCTGACAAGTAGGCCCCACGTTTTGGGGGAGATTATTGGGTTTCTGCAGCATCTCTCCCAATAATCAAAAAGTGATATTAGGCTATCCCAGATCACTATACTGGAGAAGTTGTATTAGGGACTGCCGGAGATACTCGCAGCTTTGATTTTATCCCCGTGTTGCCAGTGTTTCCTAAACAGCACCGTCTCCGTCCCAAAATATAAGTAGTTGACTTTTGACACAAGTTTGATCATTTATCTTATTAAAAAAATAACGGATGAGTAAATGCTAAATAGTTGGCGGGGAGTAAATGCTAAGCAGGTGGCAAGGCCTCATGTGGTGTTCAGATGGTGTACACGAATTACTATCGTTCGGTGCATCTTCATATCCGAGATCTATGCTGGCCTAAAGTTTGTAGGATAAAACAAAAGCCTTCAAATATTCTTATTTTTACTCTATAATAAAACAAAAAGGATCAACTAATAATTATCATATATGTGTATGCAGCCCTAGCTCCATAGATTTTTGCCGCTACAAATACCTAATAATACCTAACTCCAAGAAATATATGGAGTATCTAGAAGAGCAGGGCTCTTCCAAGCAGGGCCTATATTATCTGGCCCTATTTATCACTGACTCGTGCCCTGAGATTCACTTTCATATCAGAATTTTTGTTTGCTAAAATCAAGAACCTTATGACTATATTTGCTTTCTAAAACTGAAAGAAAACAGTTCAACCAAACAACTCAAAGTGCGCACAAAGCTTAGTTCATATTTTTTTTAGCTAGAGATATCCAGCCCAGGTAAATCCTATAGCTGCTCGAGAACACATCTAGTGCTCCAAGCAGACAAGGTGCTCCCAGGTACAATATACGACATCAAATGTACAATAAAAATTCTAACAAAAATATGGATGGATAGGTCATATAATCATCTATGTGCATGCAAAATTTTGAGCCTAAACAAAAATTTGTGCAATGAGAAACAAAAAAGAGAAATCAGCACATAAATAGTAGCGGGTTGTGGATACTAAATGAACAGTGATACCCGCGACTATTCATACCTGATTTCTCTTTTTTGTTACTCCTTCCACAAATGTTTGTTTGAGCTCAAATTTTACATGCATATAGATGATTGCATAATCTATCCATATATATTTTTTTCGAAATTTTTCATGCACATTTAATAGGCCTTTTTATGCATGGGAGCATTGGACCACCTAAATGACTTGGAGCACAGGATATATTCTCGAAAATGACTTGGAGCACAGGATATGTTCTCTGCTCGAGAATACCAAACATGGCCAGTGATGAAAAAAAAAAGCAATGACATGTTTATATGTCCAAAAATAGCTATAATTACTGGGTATATAATATACTACATCCATTTCTTAATATATGACGTTGGTTAGTTCGTCGTATATTAAAGCATGGAGGGAGTATTTTCTAGTAAGAATGAAAATGAGAGGGTTGTGCGCACCTTTTTTAACCGGATGTGAATCATTTCTTCCCTAGAGTTTGAAACCTTGAATTATGTTACCTATATAAGAAAATTCGAAATAACAAATGTTAGTCCAATACTTCAGCTAGTAACTAGGAATCCCAAGGTCAAAGGCTCCTATCGCCAAAACGGCTATTGAGACCGATTTACACGCCATGTAATTAATGTAAACCGCAAAATACTCTTTTTGACCGTGTGAATGCATGAGCTGAGCATGTAATCCGTAATTATTTAACCCACAAACTGCACAATGATGGTGTAGGCGTACGTCATCTCCCATACTAGCATCGCGGAATAAGCTAAGGCATCTTGTCCTACAAGAAGGCCAATCTACTCCTTTAGAAGGCTGAAATTTCAGAGGATTGATGCAGGAATAAGTTCAATTTTATAGGATTTTCATAGAAAACATAAAACAAAAAAAACATTCCAAAAGAGGCCTCAATTTGTCATATCACCGTTGTTTGGCAACACTCAAATAAGTCCTTTTACGGGAATTATGAAATGATCTAAAAAAATGAACAGCCATTTGTAAAATTGCCAGAAACGCTAGAACTAACCTGACCAGCTGTTGGGAGTTGGAGAGTTGAGAGCCTATATGATGTTTGAGGAAACGATACGATTGTTCTGAGATCAGATCGTTTCAAGCCACCGGATCTTCATAGACATCTATTATTTTTTAGTTGTGACTCGGCTTCGCCGCACCATACGGTGATCCAACCGGCCACAGCTGGCGGCGAGTAGTTTTTCATTCACCTGAAATAAGTGGGACAAACATGTTGAAATATGTAGATCTAACCTTTTCATTCACCTGAAATACGTGGGATAAACGTGTTGAAATATATATAGATCTGAATCAGATGACCTAATAAATCCACAACAGAAGAAAGAAAGAACACCCCACACATACAACGGAGCAGAAAGCTATGCGAACCGAAATCAAATCTCCACCTCTACACATACCCCCGGCCAGAGATGTAGTACGTGCCCGCCACGATCCATCCGGCCATGGGCTCGGGCTTGCGGCGACCATGACCGGCGGAAGGGTGTACCAGATCCATGATAGGAGGACGCGGAGCAACACAGCGGCAGGTCTGGGTTCCCCCGCGGCCATGGAGGAAGAGGTCCGTGTGGTGCGGTAGGTCGGGGAGAGGGAATCGTTCCTCTACCAGAAGATATAAGGGCGTGTTTGGAACATAGTTTTTTCATAGGAATTTTGGAGGATTTCGTTCCTCTGGAAAGAAAACCTGTGACTGCGTTTGGAACATAGGATTCGTAGTTTCCGTTCCGGAGGAAAGGCTTCCAGCTATGTGTGTTTCACGGGAAATAAAACATCCACCGTGACCCAAGGGAAAGCTTCTCTCTCTCGTTTTCTCCCGTTGCCTCTCTCTCTCTCTCCCGCCATGGTGATTGAACCCTAGAGAAATTTGGCACGAACAGGCGAAGATGGCAAACCAGCAGCAGCGAATCGGCCCATCCCCACGAAATCCCCCTCTCCCCGCTTCGTCTCTCCCTGCAACTCCATCAGTGCAGGGGCTTGATGTCCACCAATCTTGGGGAAGTCAAGAAATCCACGAACCAGGTAGGATTTGATAATGATATGATTTTCCCCTTCAAAAGTAGTTTTATTTTTCCCTTGTTTTGGATCTGGATCCGAATTTGTGGATCCGGCAACACATGTTCTATTTAAAGATCTGATCTATGGAGTCCTTTTATCTTTTCCCTAAGTTTCTGTAATAGATGTTATTTTTGTGTGCTTGTAACTAGGAAGCACTCTCTCCAGTTACTTTTATAGCAGTTAGCACAAGGAGATAGCACTTACGTTTTGTATATTATGCCTCTAGATTTTTTTTCTCCTGGTAGGATCTCTAATATCTGTTATTTAACTTATTTTAAAACTGGAATTTTCATCATGTTTGTCATAGGCACCTCAAAGAATAGAACTAAGTGGAATCACCAGAGGAGGCTATATCTTATTGAACTCTTAAAAACCCATGATGTGCCTAGATTTCGGACACACAATGCATGGAGTAAGGATGCTTGGACTAGTATTGTGGCTCAGTTCAATCAGAAATTTTCTTTGTCATTCTCTATTGGACAAGTGAAACAAAAGGAGCAGGATATGAAAAAAGAATTTCGTACCATAAAAGATTTGGTGGCAGAAAGTGGTTTTGGCTGGGATTCCGATAGAATGATGGTGACGGCACCACCAGATGTTTGGGCAGCAATGGAGGCACGCAAGAATAAGGACGCTCTGTTTTGGCGAGACAAGTCATTTCCGTACTATGATGATCTGTTTGCTTTATATGATGGTGAGTTGATATGAGCCTGATTAGTTATTATTTTCTTTGGATGTGATTACAAAGATTGCTACGACCACTCTAAAATATTGTCATAATTTTTACTGTAGGCGTTATGTCAGAAGGAAGAAGTTGTCGTGGTATGGATCATTATGCCAATAAGGCAATATCGCCTTCACAAGTTTCTCCTGATGTGCACCTGCAGTCACCTTCAGCTAGTATACCTGCTCCTGGTTCTTTCAGTTTTGATATTGAAGAGGACAGGGATGATATTAATTGGTTTGGTAATGATGCATTTACTCCATTGGGAACTTTCCTGCCTCAAGAAACACCAGATGGACCATCTTCCATAAATATAGCACCACATGTTCCTTAACAATTTGAAGAAACTCTTCGTCACAGTGCCCGGCCATCTAGTTCAACTCCGGAGGCAGTTGATGGTAAGCGTGATAAAAGGCAAAAGACCAAGCACACTATTACAACTGAACATTTTCATGAGAAGTACTTGAAGTTGAAAAAAGAAGAGATTGAGCGATTATTTGCCATAGAGGAGAAGAAGCTAGATGATCCTTTCAAGTATCAAGAAATGCATCCTTTGTGCTTGAGGGGCTTAGTGAGCTACAAACTGGAGATATGCTAAAAGCAGCAGACATCTTCAAAGACAATCCGTCAAACAAGAAAGTTTTTCTCTCATTTGGTTGTGATGCATTACGGGTAGGATGGTTGCTTAGACAAATTTAGATTACCTAAGCAAACTGATATTTTGGTACACTTTTGGTTCATGTGCATATATGCTCACATGATTAGGATTAGCATCCTGTAGTGACCGGTTTTCTGATGCACATCCTTTGTCTTTTTCAAAAGTACTAAACTGGGGTCTTGATAATTACCAAGAAATTTCAGTACAAGCTAACTAGGTATGCTAATGCATAGGGATGTTTAGGATTAGCATCCTGTAGTGACTAGTTCTGATACACATCCTTTGTCTTTTGTAAAATCTTGAACTGTAGTACAAGCTAACTAGGTATTCTAATGCCTAGGAATGTTAAGTTACATTGTAGTACATCATTATTATCATTTCAACTGTACGTCTTGCAATGTAATCTTCCCACATCCTGTTTGCTATGTGATCTCGCATCTCATTTCCGACTTGTCATAAGTTGTTAAATCTTTGGCACATCATTCTTGTATTGGTCATCTCCTTCTGGTACATCAGTCATGTTGCTTTGATTGATATCTGTGGTAGCACCATGTACCAAACTAGCATCTCCATTGTGTAACCGAATGAAATTGTGTGTTAAACAACAAGCTACAGAGATATCAACCTGTCTCTATGTCATATGCTGAAGCAGCTTTTAGTATAGGGTACCTCATTTTTAATACACCAATAGCTCTCTCTATATGATTCCGTAGTTGTGCATGCAGAAGGTTGAATAATTCCTTCGGATTTTGTGGTTTTTGACCTGCTCTTCCTTGTTCTTGTAAGTGATATCTAGTCCCACGGTATGGAGCAAGAAATTGTGGTGTATTTGCATAGCCTGCATCTACAAGGTAGAATTTACCAGGGGGGACACTAAATCCATGGTTAAGTGCATCCTGTAGAACTCTTGCATCAGAAGCAGACCCCTCCCAACCGGCATGGACATGCACAAATTTTAGATCGAAGTCACATGCAACCATCATGTTCTGTGATAGACCTTGCTTTCTATTTCTATATGGTTCTTGTTTTGCAACAGGAATAGTCATTGGAATATGAGTGCCATCGATAGCTCCAATACAGTTCTGTATATATATTAATGAAGTCAATATAAAAGGCCCATTTTACATGTATTAAATATAATTAAATTGACATGAAAGTGAACTATTTTTTTGATTACCTGAAAGTATGGAGAAAATTTAGGCTGCCTTAATATACAATGTGGGTGTGGAGAAGGCAAGCATATGTAGTGGCATGTGAGTTGTGTAAGTGCATTGAGCACTGCTGCAAAGTGACGGCTAATTGTTTCCCCACTATGTTGGAATTGATCTTGTAATACTCGATTGCTTGCATTTTTTGATACTGCATAAAGGAATATAGCTAATTGCTCTTCCACCGAGACATACCTTGAATCAACAAGTCCTTTTTCACGCAATCTTCGAACCAGAGCTCGGAAAATCTCTCTCTCCATATGGAATCACCTTTGGCATAAGACTTCATGCCCATTTAGTGTTTCATCAATAAATGTGGCTCCATTCCGGACTGATGTATGTATGGCTTGCCTTTGTGATGATCAGGATGAACTAGCTTCTTGTAAGGTAGGGAGTACGAAGAGAAAAAATTCCTCTTCATTTTTTGATCTACGCTGGTAGCTTGAATCCATACAAAGAAATGCTATTGTCTGTGATGGATGGATGAGAGAATGGCAAAGTTATTATATTGCCGGACAACACACAATGCTGACCCGACAAACTTATATATAGCAGGAGCAGCAGGGTGCTGTAGCAATGCCAGGGTAAAAAAATGCAGACTAGCAACGGCACTTGCAGGGCTCCAACGGCTAACTTACCCAACGGCTATTTCCTCCTTGCATGGGAAAACATGAATGTTCAAAATTTTCCTGCAATCCAAACAGCAAACTTCAAGTATTCCTCTGTTTTAGATTCCTGCGGTTTTTCGCTTTATACTACATCCTATTCCTGTGTTTTTTTCTATTTCTCTGTTTTCCATTCCTACGTTCCAAACAGGCCCTAAGTAATAAACCTCGCATATGTCACATGACCTCCAAATACGAGGTGGATAAGATATCGAATTGAGATTTCCCTTTTGCTCCATCCTAAAAAATAACCATTCATAACAAAAGGCTAACCGTGAACCTCGCCTCTAATACAATACTGTATGAACTGTTGTTGTTCTGAGATTCATCCACACACACAGTCATGCCATGCACTATTAAATAAATAAATCTTCAAAAATACTGTAACGTTGGATTCAGCTGCAATGGATTACCTACCCTACTTAATAATAATAAATACGTACTGCAGTAGTGGATTATCGCAGTACAAGGATTATCTAGCTAGTAGAGTTAAATCGTCTGGCCAGATGGATGAGGAAAATACAAGATTACCTTTGTCGGTGGTGCCGGAGACGTCGGAGGCGGGCGGTGACGGTGCGTCGGTGTGGGAAGACATGGCACTACCAAGGGGCGGGGCATCGACGGCGGAACCACCGCGGAGGAAGGACAGGCGGTGGCTCCGGGGCAGATCTGAGGGGGCTGCACCGCCTGAGCCTAAGCGAGCCACCGGCGCCGCAACATGGCGGGCGGCGCGAGCAAAGCCACGGGAGACCCGCAGGAGGGACGCCATCGACGGGGGTCGGATTGGAGGAGGATGGATTGTTTTCTTTTCTCCCGAGAGAAGAGGATTGTTACCCTTGTTATATAGGATCCCGGTTAGGGTTTCGGGAGCTGCACAACTCCAGAAGAGTCTGGTTAGGAGTTCACGGCCCATCCGGACATTTATTGACTACAGGTAGGATTACACTAGTTTAAAGGGCCTGTCGGCACTGTGCAGCACGCACAAACGAACAGGCCCTAAGTTGGGTGACAGCACAACCACAACGGAGGACAAGCGATACCCAAACAAGATGTCCCGAGGCTGACATGTTATCACATTTTTTTGATCTGGTCGAAGAGTCCGTTGAATCTGTTAAGGTCAAGCCATCGGGCTTACAAGTCTATCCCTAACGACATTACCCAAAATACAAGATCTATTTCACGTTTAGTAGCGCTACAGGTAAATGGTTCCGTATCTATTTTTGTCTTCTTCAACGATAAAACTAAAAAAGAACTCTTTCTGCAAATGAGTCTCCAAGAGAAAGGATACTCATGTTTAGGTTGTGCCTTTGCTGTAACCCAAAATAGGTCTCACATATAGGTGCTCTGATGGAGTCTGATACAGTACCATTCGAGACCCATTTTTTGTATGGATACCCATATAGAACATCCATTGAAAACAGTCTAACGAAGGATAGTACCTAGGAGGTACTGGAGCTCATCCAGGCAGCTGCGAACCAGCCACCAGCACCCCTCAATCGACCTTCGGAGAGCAGATGGACAGCGCCACGGCGTCCCTCTCCGTGGTGGCGGCAGCGGCTGTTGCTCCGCACGTCAAGCAGCATGGTGCCGGCACCGGCAGCGTTATATGCCAACTTGAGCCGGGATCGAACTGTAAGTCGCCGGATCGATCTCCACCCCATCGGAATCGAGTTGCTCGCCTATGGTTCTGGGCTCGCCTCGCTGCTCCAATCTCGTCGCTACAGTGTTATCCCTTTCGTAATTCACCCTCCCCGCTGGGATAGATTGGTCAGGATGAGAGGCCATCCTTTCCTAAACCCAAACCTGTATTCCAAACCAGTGAACCAAACATGGATTATGCTACTGTTAGGTTATGTTACGCCTATCCCACACCTGTATCCCATGAACCAAATGCCACCGGATCGTTTTCTTTTCTCCCGAGAGAAGAGGATGGATCTGGACGGCGGCCACCGGACACGCTGTTACCCTTGTTATAAAGGATCCCGGTTCTTCGTCCACGACTGCCCCCCGCGGGCAACTTCCTCCCCGCGGCTCCATTAGCAGGCCTAGCTACGGCCCAGCCCCAGCGGCATCGAGGCGGGAAAACGAGGTGCTTTTCCCGCCAAGGCGCCCCCAATCTCTTCACTCCCGCCGCCGCCCGCCCGCCCGCCCGCCGGACGTCCGCCCCCGCCACCCCCGCTGCCTGTCCGCCGGAAGCCCGCCGCCTCCACCCCGGCGCAAGGGCCAGACGCCCGCCGCCGCGCGCCACCTCGGCGTCCCGCCGCCTGGGCTGGACGGCCGCCACCCCGACAGAAGCCGCCCCGCCCGAATCTGAAGGAGTGAAGGTAAACTACTTTACCTGTCAAAAAAAAAAAAACAGATGCAAATAAAGGCAATGGATGTCTTGGTGGATACACTCGCTATTTTCCATCTCTCCCGCCATGAACTAACTACTATATATGCTCTAGTTTTCATATTGTTCCTGCGTTCGTCCTCTTTTTTTTGGGGAAAAATTGTTTTCAGCCTCAAACTTGCTAGCACCTAGCAGGATCTTTTTTTCGTATGCTTTGGGCAAGCCAAAAGATCATTGCATCACATTTTCATCATGGTTTTACAGACTGGCAAAAGAAAAGATGTGTATTTCGTTTTACATTGCTAGTTAGTAGGATTTACTGATATCTATCTGCAGGGGCAGAGGTATGCCCTTTTCGGTGTCAGCCGACTCCGATGGATTTTAACAAAATCAGTGAAAATATCTGTTTTGCATTATTCATAACACCAATAGGTAGCTCCTTGAGGCTTATATTTTGCACACCCTCTGTCTCAGTTGAGAAGTTACAAATGGCTAAGTAGTCATCATGATACAATAGGTCAGGTATGGCTCCAATAGGTAGTGTCTGCTGCTTCAAGTGTGATAGGTTTTAGCTAAGTTATCAGTTGATAGGTTGTGGAATCTATAGCTAGCAGGCAGTTTGCAGTGTCGCAGGCAAGCAGGGGAATTAAGTTGGCTCGGCTTTAAGTTTGGCTTGTCTTGTAATGATTTTTAATGGCATAGGATATATTAGCTCAAGTATTAGCTTCTGTTTGACATGGACATCAGGAAAATACATGTGAATCTCATGTAGAAATATATGCCATTGCAGATTACCCACCTGCAGACCTTGTTCGAATCATCCCGTACGAACAAACATCATTGAGTGAAGCATCCAAGAGGTAAGCATCAAGCTGATCGTTAAAATGTAGCTCTGTCACTATTTACTTTTAGCGACGCCTTTTGTAGCAACAGCAGCGCTCTGTCGCTATAATGATTTAGCGACTGACTGTCTGTCGCTGTACAGGTCTTTTAGCGACTCCAATGCAGTTGGTGTTTTAAGGTTGTAGTGTAGTGGAGGATCCGCTGACCGCGCAGCATCCGACGCCGCATGGAGATCGTGCGCTCCCCCCGGCAGGTTGCCGCCGCAGGCGCGGGGGGCCTGCCGATCTACAAGACGGCACCGCAGCTCGAGGTGCGGCTGGAGGAGTTTGAGCTCTTCGCCATCGACCGGCTCCGAGGTGCAGCTTCTTCCTGGCGAGAAAAATGCTTCCCAATCCCGCGTGGCTTCCTTTCGTTACTTCCTCAGATCTTGCTAACGCGTTTCGTTGCGTTGGTGATGAGCAGTTCTCAAGGGGATTTCAGATGGACTCTCGCGTGGGAAGAGGCCGGAGGAGATGGAGAAACTGGTGACCGATTCTCGCCTTTGCTGTTCATTGTTTTTGTTGGGGGGGGGGGGAATTGTAGGAGGGAAAATTTGGGTTTTGCCAGCAGGAGTAGGCAAAGGTTTCTGTGGTTGCAGTCTTGTGTATGTGTAGGATCGACCTCTTTGTATGAGTTGGATTTTGCTAGAGAATATGAAGAGTGGCTAACTTAGGCCCTTTTGGATGTTACTGTGGTACTACTATCCGAAATTTCAATTTTTTTTTTTATTATCGTTCATGCTTATGGGCTTAGCTATGGTCTAATTTTTGTAGCTAGAATTGTTGCTTTCTCCTCAGAATCATATTGAAGTAAGAATGTAAGATAACATGGAAGGTTTTGGAACCCTAGTTATGGACTTAGCATCGCACTCTGGCATTGGTCTAAATTTTGTTTTAAATAGAAATGCCTTATTCTGTTCTGCATTTCAGGCCAGTGAATTGTGGAAGACGCACATGAGGCACCAGGATCCAGCAGAGACTTTGAACAAGGATATAATATCGCACTTTGTGCTCCGCCTAGTCTACTGCAGAACGTAAGCTTAATATTCATATGTTTATATTCGCTACATATATTAACTATGGTGGTTCACTTGTGATTCTTTTGACCAACTCACTGGAAAGCTGTATTTGATACAACACACAGGGAGGAATTGCGAAAGTGGTTTCTCTCCATGGAGACTACACTTTTTCGGTATCGCTTTCGGCTTGAGAGTCTTGAATCACAGGTGACTTCCTATCCATTTACCATAGAACTGACAAAGGAAAATAATATGCATTTATGCTTTAACTGTTGCTTGTTGCACATCATCTATTTCAGAGGATGCTTATGACTGAGTTTCAACTGCCATACAAAGCACTGCCACACTCAGAGTTTGAGGTATAGACTTTGGCCTCTAATAGAACTGCTGAGGACTTGGATCTTCATGCTTAACACTGTACAATTGCAGTGTTTGGCTTTTTCCTGTTTGCTTCGCGAAGTGATTTTTGTTTTCACGTTTTAGGCTGTGAAAGACAAGTTGAGCCAAGTTGCACGTTCCATTGGTCAATCCACAAATGGTATGCATCATTTGATATTGCCACTATCTTTCACTCAATTTATTGCAGAATGCTGTTCCAACTGATTGTTAGTATCAGTTACAGAATAGGACGCTTCTCTATGATTTGTATTTTTCTGCATCATGTAAGCAGTTATTGTAAGTTATCTTTTATTTTTGCTATGTCGTTTCCCTTAAGTCAGCTGGATAGCTCAAAACTTTGTAATTAAAGCAGGCTGCGTGCAATTGAAGAAGCCAGAAATTCCTCGGTTTCTAAAAAACATCTAAGCAGTTAACATACTGAAACAGCAGATTTACCATTGTGACTGAACTTCAGGTTAAAGGAAATGTATTGCAATTTGCAATGTATAGAACAACCATTTGAAACTTTTACTGTGTTAAACCTTGTCATCAACTTTCTTCTGTTGTTGTTGCTTTCATTATCTGCTTTCGTCTTCTTTTACCCGAAGCTAAATTCATTCTCTACCTTTCCATTTTTGGCAGTTGAGCATGTGTTCTTCAAGGTGTGTACACTTACATGTTTTAGCTCTTTAGCCTTTTTCCATTTAAATCTTTTCTTCTGTGCAAAAATTAATTCCAAGTAAATCATATTGTAATCCAATTAAGGTACCTTTCGAAGAAGTTCCTGATCTTGTTGCCAGCCGCCGGGTATTTCTTTCAAAAGGCTATGCTTATGTGGCGATGAGCCAGGTTTGCTGTTAACATGAGAATAAAAATTTCAATTGTTGTCTTGGTTGGTGGCCTTTATGAAATAGATATATAATTCTGTAGTTGGTTTCGCTAGTGGTTACTCAATTCCGCTGCAATATCTCAAAGGCACTTGCTTTAACAAACAGGTACATGGTACACTAGTTTTACTTTGTTCAGTATCTATGGAACATGTTTTTGTAAGCCTTCTTATTTAATTCTCTGTAGGAAATCTCTTGTGGCTTTAGATATAATAAATATGCTAACTTTTGTTTGGAAATAATCAAAAAATTTATCATACTTGCAGAAAGATCATACTTTGAAAGTTTCCAGTTCTTTCTTTCTATGACATTTATGAGCAGCAGTTGGCATTAAGCTCTAAACTGAGTGCTCACTGGTCATATTAAGCTAAGATATGTGTAATTGTTTAATGTACAGAAAATGGACAGCAATCATTAAAGAACAAGAAAAAGACAGGTTGACTCCTGTGAGTACCAGAGTACCGCTTCAACCTTTTTTATATCCTCTGTGATGCCTAATTTTATTATGACAGATTGTCGAGGCATTAAGCAATGCGTATTTTGGACCTGATTACGTCAGGTATGCTGTCTCACCTATGCAGTTATGCTTGACTTTCCTGAGATTTAACTATGTTTTCCTCTAGTGCTGTTGCCAGCTGAATTGGTTGACTTGTTTTCACACAGCCAAAGGATGCTGTTGACATATCTCTAAAGGATATTGACCAACTGGCTAAAAGTTCTTTCCCTCTTTGTATGCGGCATATGCTAGATAAGGTGAGGTACCTTAAATGTTCCTGTAGATATACATACCTTGCAACCAGGTGTCTCAGTGTTTTCATTTATTTTGCAGTTGAGAGAGAACCACCATCTGAAGCATGGGGGTAGAATGCAGTTTGGTCTTTTTCTTAAGGTAATAGTTGAATGAATTAGAGAAAAAGTTTGATATATAGGTACCTAAAGTTATGTTACATTAATTTACTTCTGGAAATTATGATCCAGGGTGCTGGACTAAAGTTTGAAGATGCTCTTGCATTTTGGAGGGTGGAATTTTCTCAAAAGGTACATATATTTTTTGACATGTACTGTGTCATGCAAACATTTAACAGAAGCACGTTACAACATCATTGCCTCTATATATTAGCAGTGCACACTGAGCTAATATGATCAAAGATATGCAAAATTAAGCAGTTCTTTTTTCTCAAGGAAATTAAACAGTAAATTTTCCCTGAGTTGAACACGCAAGTAATCATAATTTATGTTGCCTCACTTATGTTGTATCTTCTTTGGATAAGATTGGTCCTGAGCGGTTCGACAAGGAATATGCCTATACCATCAGACATAATTATGGAAAAGAAGGAAAACGGACAGTAAGTCTCTCCTCCATGTGTAACTTGAAATTGCACCAGAATTATTACTTACTCTCACACATGCTGCTCCAGGATTACACTCCATATTCATGTCAAAAGATCATTTCTGCAACACCTGGTGTTGGAGATCACCATGGATGCCCATTTCGACATTTCGGGTACAATCTCACCCTTAGTCTTCTATAGACGATTACTATGTGCTTATTATTTAGATAGGTGGATTTAACATACGACGCTCCAGCACCCGCGCCGCTCCACCACCGCCGGCCCGTGCTAGCGCCCACGCCGCGCCGCTCACACGTGCTGCCTGCGCGCCGCCCTCGGCGTGCCAACGCGTGCTGCCTGCACGCCGCCTGTGGGCCGCCCCACGTCGTCTCCATCCACCCTGCCGCTAAGGAAGCCGACGTCCCCAAGATCTGCCGCCGGAGGTATATAGGAACGCGGATCCGCAGCTGGAGGAGCTCGCGGCGGAGGCCTAGGTGGAGGATCTAGCGACCATGGAGCCGGAATAGCTTGCAACAGCGTCAACTGACACCAGCTGCCGCCTCCGCTTCTCCGCCTCCTCTGCCGCTCCACCCACTCCCTCGGCGGGGTTTGCCTGGGCCGACGCCCTCCGCGTCGTCGGGGACAACGGGCGCGACGACGAGCCCGACCTAGCCACGATGTGAGTTCCTGGTTCGTGGACATTGCTCGCGGGCGCTGCTCGCCAGCCGACCGTGGGGAAGCTCCGCACTGGGGAAACTCGTCGCCGCTGGAAAGCTGGCTGCAGGGGAGGAGCTGCGTCAAGTAGTCGTCCGCCTGCCTCGCCGCCGACGCTTGTCCCAACCCTAGCAAGGCCGTTGCCAAGCCGATGTCGGCCATGGCCACCAAGCTTCCCACGAAGCCCACGAACGAAGATCAAGACCGCGCTGCTCAAGCCTCCATCCCCGTCATGCTCGACCCACCATTGCTCCGGCCTCACGCGTCATCGCCGTCACTGGAAGCCTCCGCCTCCACATTCCGCTTCGGATCAATGCCCCCTGCTGTGGATCCACCTTCCCCCAACAACATCCACCACTTGGAGCCCGGTTCCAGCAACCATTTGGAGCTCGATTCCGACAATGAGGATGTCGATGAGGTCCTGATGGTGGACTCGCCACCACTGCTTCCTCGTCCTGGTGGATCCTGGGCGCATTCATGCCTCTCGACGCACCAATGCTGGAACAGTCACCTCCTAACAGTTGCAACTTCGACCACCGGCGCTCCGTCCCCAACTTGTCGACGACTGATCTGCACAGCTCCGTGGACACTCCGCCGCCGCCACTCAATCAACGTCGGCCACAGCCTGACGACGACCTAGTAGTGCCTCCAACCCCCGAGTCAGAGCCCAAGACAAGCCTTACCTACGCTGATATCGTGAAGCTTTTGTCGTTGGGCAAAAATCATCACCAGCCGCCGCAGGGCCACAAGCTTAAATCAATTATCATAGATCCTGCTCGCCGTGAAGTTCCTCCTCGTCGTGCAGGTCTTCGAGTTCGCTTCGCTGATAGCCCTTCGTACTCTGCGTCTTCAAGCATCAAGTCATCTAGGAACACCTGGTGGAGAAAGGTTGAGTATCCACGGGAGGAGTTGCGCCACTCACCAACCCATCCAAGTTGCAAAGATGGGAGCATGACTCGTCTCTCTCCCCACATTCGGAAGATCATTGAAGGCCGCTGCTTCATTTGCCTTGCATGAGGTCACTGGGCTGCCGCTTGCCGAGAGCCCATCACCTACTTCTAGTGCCGCCGCTCGGGCCATCGTGAGGGGGATTGTCGTCAGCGTCACCAACATCCCCGTCAATCGGCCATGCCTTGTCATCCACCTCTGCCGCAAGGTCTTCCACGGGGGGAACAATCATCAGGTCACTAGAATAATTGTCGCACCGAGCGTCTGCACCTAAGGAGCGCTGATCCTACAGTTCAGCATTTCTTTACCGAACATGCTAATTATCTTCAGCACAAAATCAAGAAGATGCTTGACACAGGGATACAAAGCTTGCTTAGTGAATTCTCCCTGCTGCTCAGTGCACAGCTGCAAAAGTTGCAAGAGTCCAGCGAAAAGTGGATGAAGCTCGCGGAGAATCTTGTGCTTCAGATACATGCCATGGCAGAAAAGCTGAAGATACCTTCGGCGTTGAATCAAGACTGATCAGGCGTGAACCAAGCGACAATAACTGAACCGAGCCAGGAACCAAAGAGCTGGGGAGACCAACTTCACAGGACCAAGGAGATTGCCCCTAGTGGTTCCCCAGGGAAAGTGCTGACAACATTCAACAAGATCAATTATTCTTCGTCCAACGGATCAGCAATACCGGAGGTTACAATCCAGGATGTCGAAGATGCCCTTCTTCAAATAAGATTGCTGCAGCTAAGGAACCCCCATTGCATTCCATCTCATGTTGCTCACCTACTCATGATGCAGGTGGGGAATCTGACTCACTTCTACTCTCCCCAGTCTCAACAAATGTTGAGCCCTCTTGTCCTGTGGAGATCGACACAAATGTTGAGCCCTCTTGTCCTGTGGAGATTGATGCATCATCCCCTGTGCTAACATGCCATCAGCTCGAGGATACAGAACTGGCAAAGGCGACCTTAGAGGGGGCGACGAGGCTCAGGTTGAGGAGGTGTCGTTTTCGCCCGGGTTGCGTGTACACCAGGCGTCCGTGCTGCGGGTCTGAACACCCCCGTCGTGGCTTTGGGGCTGCCACTGGGGCCGAGCCTTGCATGGACATTGGAGGACAAGAACACACTTCACCACCTTCGCCAGAGGATGCTGGCCAGTCTGCATGTAAGGTAGCGCTGGCAAACTTCATCCAGTCAATAACCAAGCCTGTCCAACAACCCCTGCTTCCTCCACAACATGGACTAGTGAAGCCATGGAGGGAAAAGAAGAGGCCGAGCAAGCCGTCCCGGTGCAGTGCGCGTCTAGCAGCCATTGCTTGGCCGCGTGGTGATGCGCAGAGCAAAGCAAGGCAAGTGCTCATGAAGCGGTTGGACGTCACACGGGAAGAAAGCGAAACTATAGAGATGACCTTGCAGCGCTACCTCAACCTCTTCAAAGGTCCGATGTCCGACCTTATCATCAAGGTGCTGGTGGCACTTAGTGGCCTCGACAGACCAGCCATGTCGAGGCAACATAATGCTTCCTTGCACTGTCTGCGCTGCTCGAGGATTCGTTCACGCCAGGCCATGCCAAGCTGTTATAGAGGGGAGTAAATGATGGCGCAAGGTGAGACTCGGTACATGATCGTGTCGGAGATATCGGAAGCACCATTTTCTGCTTGCAGGAAACCAAGGCTTCATGGGAGGATGTCTGGGCGTTTGGCTGTTGTTCACCATGGGAAGCCGGAGCTGCTTTTTGATGCTTGTGATCAGCTCGGCAATGGGGACACGTGGTGGGCGTCGTTTGGTTTGGTGTGTTACCTCTGTATGTTAGTCGTCAGGGCTATCGTGTTCTGGTGCTGTGGGTATTTCCTGTGTTCTAATTTGTTCCTCTGTAAGGTTTTCAGGCCTAGTTTCACTTATAAACTAGGCTAATTCTATTCTTCTTAATTGAAAGGCAGAGCTCCTGCCATTACTTTCAAAAAAAATTATTTAGATAGGTGCTCTGAACTTTCTGTTAGCAGTATCAGTTTGTATTTCAGATCTTCCCTTTTCTCACTAGATTACTCCTGAACTTTGAGGTGGAAGTAAGATCACATTTGGAAACCAGAAAAACTGAATGGAGCAAGAGGCCTCCAACTTCCAGTTTTTCTGATTAAAAAAAAATGACATCCAACAAAAACAAAGCTTAATGTACCATAAAGAAGCCATAGGTAATTATGAACGAGAAGTTAATATTTTGTTTACTCATTAAGTACCCAAGTTGAACCAAATAGTTAATGTACCATAGAGAGGCAGAGGAAGACCGAAGTTGACTTGTGTAGAGGCAATAAAAGGAGACTTGAAAGGATGGAATATACCTAAAAACTTAGCCTTAGATAGGAGTGCTTGGAAAACAGCTATTCACGTGCCTGAACCTTGATTGCTTCTACTGGGTTTCAACTCTAGCCTACCCAACTTGTTTGGGACTTAAAGACTTTGTTGTTGTTGTTGTTGTATTAAGTACCCAGGTTGAACCAAATAGTACAATACTAAACTACCAAGCAGAGCAATGACACATTTTGCCCTAGTTCCTGCCAATATGATTTTATCTAGTCTCATCCATACTTTTCTATTGTATAATAATAATTTCTTGTTCGATTATGGTCACAGCAGCTTCTGTTAAAAAAAAAAACTCGACCTGCAGGGGCACACAGCAGCTTCTGTTGTGATGTCACTTGGCATGTCAGTTTGTGATGTTTCAAGATAAACATGATTCTACCTTGCTTTGTACCTGATGTTTGCTCCATGCATTTGCTTCTGCTTTACTGTATCTGCAGCGAAGAAAATTTGCGGGCAGCACTCAACAAAATGGGCGTTGGTGGGCATGCATTGGAAGAGATAATGGATAAAGTGAAGAACAGGCATTACCAGGTGCTGTACTTCATTGCCATTGGCTTAACCAAGCAATATGATATCCCTGAACTGACTGGTTTATGTGGCATAATGAAATATACAGCTAGCTTGCACATTAACCTTTGAGACCACACACGGTGTCTCCTGTGATTCTGGAATCAACCATCCAAATCAATATTTCAGTGAAGGCCAGAAAGTTCTGCGAGCCAAAGTGAGTGCAGTAGTTTATTTTACACTTGACTTTTTTCTTATGCTCTGCTGGTTTTATCAACATGAGTTAATGCTCCAATTTAACATGTGTGGCTCAATGCACAGAACCAAACAACGGAGAGCCAATCACAATCAGCAACCTAAACTGTGTCGCAACTGGAGAAACTATCCATTTTCAAAAAACTTACCAGGTCTTGACACCACCCAGTTTTTGCTCTACATTTTCTCTATGTTACCCACAACTTGTTCATGACTTGATGCATTTCTGATGTGCAATGATGAATAGAAGACATGCTGCGCTCCATTTTCTGTTTATGGCATATGTGATTATACCTCTGCTGAATTCTCTTTTGACTGCCAACATCTTGCGAGTTACACTGGTTAGACCGTTCAAGGCCTGGGGTCAAAGACCCCTGTCACCAGTCCGTGTTCAAAGCCTAGCATTCTTCTTAATGCTATGTTGGGGGCATCTCTTTCCCCTTATCTGGTTTCTTTTAATTCCCTTCTCGCTTCCAGCAATTCTATTAGATATTTTCTTTCCCTTATTTTATTGGAACCATGTCACATCCATTCGACAAAATTCAGTTTCTGAATGATTGAAACTGCCCCAGAATAGTGTTTACTCATTTTATGTGTGATATTTTCGTTTTGCCCCATCCAAGGTTGCCCTTTATTACTGAATTTGCGTATATTAAATGCACAGTCTGAACTTTAAGGGGACTTTTATTAAATGTGTGCGACCTTGTGCCCCTGTCAGTTTTTAACTGATTTGCTGGTTAAACCAGTGTAATTTCTGTACATCCATTTTTTTGTAATCAAACATGTGATTTGGTGCAGCACGCGAGATTCATCACCTTAATTTTCATTCATAAACTTCCAGATTTTCTACACTAGATACTATAAGCCCACTAATAATCTTTTGGTCAAACAGCAGGTAAGCACTGAAGCAAAATTCATCCTTGATGCCAATTATGTTATCGTTACTGGTTGTTGACCATTGGTGCTTACCTGGAATACTGTTGCTCCCCGGTGTTTCCAAATTCCAGCTGCTGGCTTGGCCTAAAAAGAAAACCTCCAGGCTCCAGCTGCTAGCTGCCATGCCCTACAAGTGATGGCACCACACTCTACACTAGAAGTAGAAGTGTTACCTAGTGCTGCGAACAGCAGCAGGTCAATATACATGTAATTCTCGAAAGAATCCAGAGTGAATATTCTGAATTTAATGTAGGATCAGCTGTGCTATGCTGTTATGTTATTGTCAAACTCTTTGAGTAGAAGAGAATTCTTTACTTTTGATTCTGCCCATGTATTATTTTTTTTAATTGACTATGAAAGTTTTGCTGTAATTTTATTAGAAAAGAGAGAGGTTGGTCCGGTTTTTAAGAGAAAACTGGACGTAAAAATCTTACAACTACGAGATGAAAGACTACTCAACAAACAACTAAAAACAACTCAACACGGGTTAGCAATCAACTAGATATGACATCTAAAAGCTCTTTAGAAAACACTTACATCATCGGCAAAAACCACTGTAGATCTACCCAGACAACATAGATGACTGCTATTAGGAGTCCTGGGTATGGTGGATAGTCCGCCAGCTCATGCGGATCGTCTCTTAGTGCCACATTGAGTCATCAACACTACACTACTTTGTCCTTGACCTAATGGACTGTACACTTGTTCACAAGAACCGTCCATGAGAACACTCAAAGACACCCCCCTGTCTTGGCTTGGTGGACTGTCTGCACTCATTGACAGACCACCTGTCTAAGGGCAACTTGAGTCTGTAAACACCTAAGTAATTGACACATAGACCCTAGTCAATGCCTCTACATGACTTCCCTAAGTCCAAATGTAGGCTTTAGTTGGAACCATACCCTAGTAATATGGAACCTTCTCACCCTACACATTGTGAAAAGTCTCACCTAGGAGCACGTATCTACATCGGCCCTTTATCCTAATGATCCAACTTAGGATGTGATCCAACTTATCTAAGTTAATCATGCACACCTGACTCTAAGGACCTCTTATGCATATCCAACCCCCTAACATATATTGCCCTCCATCATATCGCCCTCCATCATATCGCCCTCTCAACCTATGCAGGATTTACTATTGACTACCATAGGGAGAGATGTGAAATGTTCACCTCCTTTTGTGCTTCACGGGGACCTTACAAAATGCAAAATGGATCCTCATGCACACAAGAGAAACTAAATACAAAAGAAAAGAAGAATAAAAAATCTCCAAGTTCCAACTCAAATCATCCTTTATGGCTTACTTCATAATGTCAACTCCAAATGCACTGTCTTGGTTCCAATTTGGGTGATAGAAGAAGTGGTATGTCATTGAAGATAGGTCAACCCAGTCTAGTTCCACCTATGTTTGTGCCATGCAAGCAGTCCTACAATTCCCTCGCATCACTGGGATATCACTACCAAGTGGAGTCATCCCCATTGAAAGCATCTAGGCCCCTAAGTGGATTTCGGTGATTAATGTCAATACAAGATTACTATGACTAACGTGTGTTTTGCAGAGGCAATTAAGTTAGGTCATGGTAATGGAGATCGATTGGGCAATCGAGGTTGTCATGCCCCTACGATGGAAATCGTTTCGGTTTTCAAAGGATGGACGACAAGGTTAAGGATAACTAGTTCTAAGTGTCAATTGAAGTTGGAGAGACACTTAGAGTAGTTTAGGACTTTGTTTTTCCTTTGGCCGTTCTATGAAGGGGGTATGAACGGGTAGCTTGACCTAGTTGAGTCTAGTGAGTTAGGTGTGGTGCACACTTGTTAAAACTAGCTCTAGGTAGCTCCTATGAATGCCTAAAATCCTTTGGAGCTAACTTCATTCACATATGATTGAAAGTTGGAAGTGAATGGAGGGTCAAATCTTGACCGGAGACTGGGCTCCGGTCTTGACCGGACACTGGCCGCAGGTCCCGTCAGTTCATTTGATTGAGGAGAACAAGTCAGTGTGACCGGACTGGAAGAGTCGTGTGTGGGACTGGGGGGCAGCGTCCGGTCGACTCAATAAGGGTCCAGACTTGAGAAAGTGTGACCGGACGCGTCCGAGATATAAGGGTGACCGGACCACAGTATCCGGCGTCGTCCGGTCGTTCTGATAAGCATCAAGATCGGCCGGACGCGTCCGGTCGGTCTTAACCGGACCTCATCGTCCGGTCATCACTTGAAAGCTATTGCTGGCGGGTTGAACCGGCCGGGCGTCCGGTCGATATGATCGAGCGTCCGGTCATCCCGCAGAAGCTCATAACGGTTCGCTTTTCAGTCGCCTTATAAATAGAAGCTCCACTCTCGTGTGAAGTTACTTTTGCTCATTCCAACGGTGAGAAACATGTTTGTGAGTGCCAAGAAGAGCAAGGTCCTAGTGAAGTGTTTGTGATTTGAGAATCCAAGAGTGAAACCTCATTAGTGAATCAAGAGTAGACAAGTGTGCATCCATCTTCTCATTAGGCTTCGTGTGGTCAAGTGAGAGTTCGTGCTTGTTACTCTTGGTGATCGCCATCACCTAGACGGCTTGGTGGTGATTGGGAGCTTGGTGATCACCCGGCGGAGCTTGTGGGTGACCCAACTCAAGTTGTGAGCGGTTTTGGGTGATTCGCCGCGACGGAGTGTCGAAGAATCAACCCGTAGAGAGCACTTGATCCTTGCGCGGATCAAGGGGGAGCTACACCCTTGCGCGGGTGCTCCAACGAGGACTAGTGGGGAGTGGCGACTCTCCGATACCTCGGCAAAACATCGCCGTGTTCCTTTCTCTCTCTATTTACTTTGAGCACTTACTTTGAGTATTTACTTTGAACAATTCAATACTTGTTTCATATCCATAGAATTGCTTGCTAGAGTAAGTTTGGAACATAGGTTGCGAGGTTGTTGTGCATTAGTTTGACATAAACACTTTTCTAGGCACAAGGGGTTAATTGGGCTATCCGTAGGATTTGATTATTGAAAGAAAATTTAGAATTAGCCCAATTCACCCCCCCTCTTGGGCATCTTGATCCTTTCACCCATGATGCACGGGAACTGTCACAAATGTGGAAGCCCTAGATCTAGATGTGATAGGGACCTCATGACACAAACATATCAAACGAAGAATACTTCGCTAGAAGCGGGAATGGGGACGACTTTGGCCAAAGGAGACTTCGTGGAAGACTTTGTTAGCCCGAGACATGAAGCTTTCGAGCGTCAAGTAAAGTCTTGGGCGTAGTCTCAACTGATTGGAGAGACCATTCTAGAATGAAGTCCCATGTTGGCAACAACATGTGGAGGCTTCATGAAAAAACTAATATGCTCTGTAATATTCTAGAAATTTGTACAAAAACCTTGTAAGGGGGAGGGGTAAAAAGGTAAAAAGTTATTGCCTAATATAAATATCACTCCCCTGCACTGTACAGGGCGAGTGATAATGAAATAGAGACAACATGATGCCATTTTCATGCTTAGTTATCACTCTATTTTTAATTTGTTGAGTTTTCATAACTCAAAAATCATCGATGTGGCATGCTTTCTCCGTGATGCAGCTGAATAGATCCATCTGAGAACCGTCTTAACGGATGTGAAAGCCCCATATGTAGATGTGATAGAGTTATGATAATGAAATGGAGCCACGATGCCATTTTAAATCTTCATTATCATTCCATTTATGTTGAGTTTTCATAACTCAACAGTCATCAGTGTGGCATGCTTTTCCATGATGCAGCTAAACGCATCATAGGACCGTCCTAATATAACATACAAACATGAAACTCTAGATCTAAATATGGAGTTAATCTAGGTGTTACTGACCTAGAGTCAAGAGTTGCCGCCATCCTACACAAAAGTTGCTATGAGCCTTGTAAAGGGGAAAATGACGTCAACCTCGAAAAAGAAGGGGAGGAGGAAAGAAAGAAACTCCTCATC